TCCTATGGATTGGGTTTAATTTTCCTCAGCTTCAGCTTGAACTTGCATATGAGTAATTGGTGGTCTGTTCCACAATCAGCCCCCGGCCTAGTTTTCACAGCTAGATATCACAGATATAGATAGTAGAGTAAATTATCTCACAGATTAAAGTTACCCTACCAGAAAAAAAACTTCAACTCATTTGTTGTCAAATGAATTCTAACTCCATGATTCCATGACAGAAGACGAATCAATGCCTTTGAGTTGTGTTGGAGAACTGTACTGAATATCACATGAATTGCCAAGAGAACAAAAAGGTCTTTCTTAGAGAAGGTGCAGTCACAGTGCTCCTTAGAGGCAAAGATGGTGAAGCTTTGTCTCATGTATTTTGGGCATGATGTTAGGAGGTCCATTCGCTGGAGAGGGACATCATGTTTGGAAAGGTGAAGGGTCAGCAAAAGAGAGGAAGATCTTCAATGAGATGGATTGACACAGTGACTGTAAAAATGGGCTTGAGCATATTAGAGATTGTGAGGATGGCACAGTACATGGCAAGGTCAGGTCAAGGTCATGAAGTGCATATGCATTGTAGTTGACTTGATGGCACCAGTAACAACAACAACAGCATCTCTGAGATCTCACATATTTTTTTTAATGGCTTTTCTTAATTGAGATTTTAAAATTTTTTTTTATTAATTACAATGAACATCTACAGAGATTTTGTAGTTCCATTCATTCATTGTTGCATTTTTCTCCCTGCCCACCCCACCCCCAACCCCAGTTCCTTAAGTGAGAGTTGAATGAAAGTTTATAGAGAACTTGGATTTCCATTCATTAATTGTTGTACATTTTACTTTTGAATACATGAGATATTCAGTATTTCACATACTTTTGAACCTAAGAACAATAGCAGCAACAGCATCTTGTTGGCTAAGGTAGCCACTTGGTCACATCATTGGCATGCAATTACAATGGTGGCCTTTAGATGGCAGTGTGGGAGAGGCTGATGTTTCGCTGAGGCATGGCTTTTGCTGGCAGTGAAATAAGGTGCATCCTCCAGTAATGGTAGCAGCTTTAGCAGCTGTTTTGCTTGTACAAAGTCAAGAGGATGTGAAACACTTACAGAAGAATATAAAAGGTTACAGCCTTCAATATGGATGACATCTCCGCATTGAGACCAATAAACAACATTATAAAAGGTGGGGAAAAGATTGAAGTTGACAGTAATTTCATTTTACTTGGATATACAACCAATACACATTATAACAGGAGTCAAGAAATTAAAAAACATACTCCATTGGGGAAATATGCTGTCAAGGACCTCTCTAAAGTGCTAAAGCACAGTGACGTCAATTTAAAGACTAAGGTATGCCTTGATACAAGTCATAATATTTTCAATTGCTTCCTATGCTTCTGGATAATGAGTAAGAATACCAAAAAAAGAATTGATGTCTGTGAGTTGTCAAAGAACAATCAGGGTACTCTTTGAGAAGAATGGAAATCCCAGAACACTTTACTGCATTTATGTGGAACCTGTACATTAACCAAGAAGTTGTTATTGGACCAGAGCAGGAGGATTTGACATGGTTTAAAATCAGGAAAAGTGTACAGCAATGTTGTATCCTTTCACTTTACCTATTGAATCTGTATGCAAATAATCCCCA